TGTTCCCACAACTCCTTATTGTATAGTTTACTAAGAAGTGTCTTTAGTTTAGCTATGTAAATTGGTTAGTTATTGTTAGTTCTTCCTTGATCTTTCTCTACAACAACAACACCTCAATTGCAAACAATTTGGAATCAGCTATATGTAATGGCGGAGCCACCCTTCTCCATGGGGTGACACTACACAATATAAATACTTTTTTTTTATATTTTGACCTTTCTTAGTGAAATTCATGACTCAACAGTTGACTATATGAATTCTTACGTCATTTAAGTTTTACCTTGGGAAATCACTAATTATTTTTTGTTGATAAATTGTAGGTGAAAAGGGTGCAAAAATATATAGAGACTCTAGACATGTTGAAAACAAGAAATTCAGCACTTGGAAATGACAATGCCAAAGTGTCAATGCACCACAAAAACAGAATATTTACAGGACAAATGCCAAAATCAATTTATTATCAACAAGAACAAAGGAAGATGGGAAATTTTGCTGATGAGAGAAGCCCAGGGCCAGTTGTAGTGACAACAAAATGGGAAACTTTCTAAGAATTACTAAATAAATTATAAAAAAAAAGCCTAAGGAATATTAGTGTGTGCTTTGAAAAAAATATATATTTCAGATTGCATATTTTCAGTGGCTTTGGCGAAAAGGGTATAAAGTTAGAGGGTACAGAAATAAATTTTGGTTTGTGGATTCATTTGCCTTCATTTCTTTTTTCCTACTTCGATTTTTGACCCCAAATGTTTTTGGGGTTGAAAAAATAATGTGGTGATATGTTATATGGCCTTTGAATTCCAAGTTGTATAAATGTGTATATATATATAATGCCAACATCTGGTGAATTAGATAAGATTATGGTTTTACTTGAATTGAATCTTATATAACAAGTGTCTTATAAATTAAGAGACTTTATCAATAGTGTAAGTCGATTCCTCAAATATATAAGTAGACATTAGTTAGTCTGTCATCGTGATTTTATGAGGTAGTGAACATATATATTTTTCTTCTAAAGTGTCTTAGTTCGTATATCATTGACGTGAAGAGCACGCTAGCTAGGTGGAGTCTCCCATTCGTTTTTGATATGTTTTCTAAGTTGTATATATGTGCATGTGATATACATCATATATAAATTTAAATCAATCGGATCAGTAAACTTGAATTGAGGGGGGAGGGGGGGCTAACTGTTGCAATTATTGACTATTTCCTGTTTCTTTCATCCATTTCCTTTCTTTTTGTCTTGCAAATTAAATGTGATTTGGGACCATTTTGCCATCAAACAACTTTGCTTTTTGATGTATGTGGAAAACTTTTTTGAATTAGATTCCATTTAATGAAGATATGATTATAAGTTAGTTAGGAAGCATAAAGATCTAAATTGTTGGTTGTAAGGTTGCAAAAGGTAATTATAAAATTAACATTGGGCCGAAAGAATAAACCTTTTGGTAATATTAATAATTATACCATAACTAATCACACCAAAATGATAAAAGTGTAGGGTTGACTTTGGAGGTCATGGTAATGATCATTTTGGATTGTTTAATCAGTTGGATTCCACCTTGTTACTTATTTTATTTATATACTTATTTTATTTAGGTAGAATGGTCTGGGAGACCTTTGTACTTGTCTCATTTTGTCACCTGAGCCTTTCTAATCTAGACTTTGCCAATTGAACCCTCGAACTCACTGAAATCCAACATTTTAAACCCTTTTTTTGATCACTCAGTAGTGCATGAATTACAAACACCACACGTAACTTTCCAATTAATTTTAAAATGCCACATAGGATATGACATGTTAAAAATAGGCTAATCCTTTTCTTTCAAACATTCTTTCCTTTCTCCTTTTCAACTAGACCCTTCTACTCCCTTAATCCCGATTTACATTGTTGCTCACTGCGATTTTTTTCGATTTTGTGAAGTGTTTGAGTTCGCGTTTGACTCCATAGTTGTAAGTTTCTTGACTAATTTTCATTCTCTTTGTTTTGCAGTTGTGTTTTTGGTGTTTCATTTTGAATTTTATTGTTTTGAGTTCTTGTTAGGGCTTAGTTGTTGCAGAGGTCGTGGTGTGATTTTAGGGAGGATTTTGTTTTTTTTACATGCCTAATAACAAGCCTAATAACAATTTGTAGAAGTATTATGCTTTCAATGGTATTTGTCGTGAATATCTGTTGAATCTAGGATTTTTTTCGTATTTGAATTATTTATTTATTTTTTATCAATTGCGTTGGATTTCTTTCTTGTTAGTGGTCCAATTGGATTATATCATATTATTATAGAGGTTTTTGTTGTGTTCCATAAAAATTTAGTTGAAAATTAGGTTTTTTTTGTCGATTAGGGATTTTTGTAAATTAGGGTTTTTTTTGGACATTTAGGGCTTTTTGTCAATCATCTAATTGTATTCTCGTGACTTTGCAGGCATGGTAAGAATATGAGTTCAGCAATTATTACACTTCAAATGTATTATGGGGGCTGTTTTTTATCAAATCTTGAACTCAGGTATGCTAATGAAATTTCTGATCTTGAAAAAATAAGAATCGATATGGATGAGCTTTATATTGTTATTTTCATAAATTAGCTAGAGAATTGGGAGTTGAACAAGTTGAAATCTTTGGGTGCAAAGTTAACAAAAAAAGTGTTTTTTATATGTTGAAAAGTGATGCTGATGTGTTGAGATTTATTAACAACTTAAAGGGTGGGGACTTTGTTGATGTGTATGCGGTACATCAAATTAGTACTTCTTTAATTGTTGAGGATCCTACTGAGGTGCAAATAGCCTAATTGCTTACTCCAAAAAAAGGTAACCCCCCACCTACTGTTATAAATGTTAGGGTTGATATGTCTTCCCCTGAACCATCTGATAAAAATGATACAAATATAAAAGAAGATCAACAACCTAGGGTAGACAAGGGTAAGAATAAGGAGACTGCTGCTCCTGAGGTTTATTTAGAGGGTTTAGATGAAGATGAAGGTCAAGGTCAATGTAATGACTTTTCTTCCTACCACCTTCATACATCTGATGAATCTGATGTAGATGTAGATGCTAAACAATCTGATTCTGAGTCACTTTATGACGTTGATGAGAACATTGATGACTTAAGTGACTTGAATTCTGAGTTCGTTGAAGCTAGGAAGTCTAACATTCAAGAACAAGTTACTAAAGAAAAGGCTGCTAGAATAAATGTAGATGAGATACCTTCTAGTCCTGTAGGTATAAATGCTAATTTTGAAGATATTTATAACAATAAGAGGGGAAGATATGAAGGAAAATTAAGTGGGGATGACCTGTATTTTGATAGCTCAGATCCTGGCAGTGATATTAGTGAGGATAAAGGGGATCCTGTTGATTATGATGAGGTTGTAGATCCACTAGCTAGAAACTCAAGTACAAAGGTCTATTTTGACCCAACTGTCAATTTTTTTTTTATTTCAGTTGTATATGGTTTTTATGAATAATGTTCAGTTTAGAGAAACACTACATACTTTCTCTATTCAGAAGGGTGTGAACATTAAACTTAAACTTAAACTTAATGAAAAGGAGAGGATCAGGGCAAAGTGTAATAAAGAGGGTTGTCCTTGGCATATTCTTGGAAGTATTGAGGGTAATACTGAAAATTTTATTGTGAAGACATATTTTCCTATCCATAAGTGTTTCAAAAGAACAAGAAACAAGTTATGTACTCCAAACTGGATTTGTAAGACTTACAAAGACAGAATCATGAGTGAGCCTAGCATCAGACTCCATCAGATTCAAGGCTTGGTACAAAAGAATTATGGATTGTATGTTAGTAAAACAAGTTGTAGAAGAGCAAAAATAAAAGTCATGAATGAGCATATGAGTGATTTCATAGAGGAATTTGCTAGATTGTATGACTATGCTGAGGAGTTGAAGTCTACAAATCCAGGAACTATTGTGGTTGTTAGGACATCCAAGAATACAATTCCTGGAAAAGGGGTATTCCAAGGGATTTATATTTGTCTTGGAGCATTAAAAAGTGGTTGGATGGAGGGGAGTAAAAGGATAATTGGTTTTAATGGTGCATTTCTGAAAGGTATATGTAGAGGTGAACTGATGTCTTGCATAAATAATCAGATGTACCCTGTATCATGGACAATAATTAATAAAGAATCCAAAGACATATGGTCTTGATTTATCAAATGCATCAAACATGATTTGAAACTGACACAAACTGAAGGTGAAGAACTGACAGTTATGTTTGATATGTAGAAGGTATGAGAACACTTTGTAGTATTTTTTTTTACTTTGCTATAGCAATTTCTATGTTACACTTATGTTCCTATTGTTTTTCCTTGGCATGCCTTTTTTCTTTGATAGGGTCTTAACCTAGCACTTGTTGATTTATTGCCAAATGCTGAGATTAGATGGTGTGCTAGACATATATGGGCCAACTGGAAGAAGTTTTGGCAGGTTGCCAGGACTCCATTTGAAGTTCATTTACAATCAAAACTTGATGAAATGAGTCTGTTGAGAAAAGGTATTGTGGGAGCTTTGCTAAAGTACAACAAAAATGCATGGTGTAAGGCATTATTCAAGGACCATAGCAAGTGTGACATAGTTGAGAATAATATGTGTGAGACATTCAATAGTTGAATCTTGGCAGCTAGATTCAAATCAATCATCACAATGTTAGAGGAAATTAAAGTCAAAGTTATGGAAATAATGACTCAAATGAGGGAGTTTTCTGAAAAATGGATAACTGATGTGTCACCTATGGCTATGCAAATTCTTATTGACAATGCAGCCATATGTGAGATTAAATTTAATGGAGATAATGGCTATGAGATTCAGCATCCATCATATAAACATGTTGTTAATCTCAAAAAGAAAGTGTGTAGTTGTAGGTCATGACAACTGAAGGGGATCCTTCTGCACATGCAATTACTACAATGCATTACAAGGATCTAGATGTTGAGTCATTTGTTGATCACTAGTACAAGAAGGAAACATATTTGAAGGCCTATAATAAGTTCATTCAACCTATGACAAACATGAAGATGTGGCCCAAGAGCACAAGACCATCCATTGAGCCACCTGAAATCACTCTTATGCCAGGAAGACTAAGGAAACAAAGGTCTAAAGATAGTGATGAACCTAGTAAGAAGAAGTTTGGAAAGCCTACAAGGAAGTGGAGAAAAATGAAATGCTCTTTGTGCATGAATTTTGGACATAACAAGAAAGGATGTCCAATTGCTGTAAGTTTTGCTTTAACTTCTTTAACTTTGTTAATGGAATTTATTTTTATCAATACTTCTTGATTCAGTTTGGAAAAAAATTATATGTAGAAAAATGGCTATACTACTGGAATTGCAAAAACTGCTACAGGTGGAAATGGTGATGCAACTACTTCAGCAGCTTCTACAGGTGTAACTGGCAGAGCTACTGGTGAAAGTGGTGGTGCAACTATTTCAGCAGCTTCTGCAAGTGTAACTGTTGGTGGAAGTGGTGATGCAACTACTAAAAGACCAGTCACTACTTCAGCAGCTTCTACAGGTGTAACTACTGATGATAGTGGTGGTGCAACTACTAACAGACCAACCACTACTTCAACAACTTCTGGAGGTGCAACTACTGCTGCAATAACTACTGGTAGATGTGCTACAAATATTTCTGTAAATTTTGCAAGTGTTGCTCAACCAACAAGTCAATTTAGTACTCAACAGTCAACTACTAGTACTAGTGGCTCAAAGAAGAGTAGCAAAGTTAAAAGAGGTGGTGCAAATTCCGGATATAAGAGGCCAAAAACAGAGAATGTCACGACCTAAAAATGAACGTGATGGCACTCATCTTATCCCATCAAGACAAGTCAGCCTAAAACCCAATTAATACAGTAAAATGCGGAAATATCATAATCAACTCAAAAATACCCCCAAAATTTGATTGTCACATGTACAAGACTCTAAGTATTACAATTGATTCAAAAGAAAATACAAGTCTCAAATGACCTTGTTTCTAGAATAGAACAAAATCATAAGTAGGAGTAAGAAGGTCTGCTGAGATGACAAACAACTACCTCACAAATCTCCAAGAAGCATCGAAAAATAGGAGAATAGAAAGTATCACAAAATCCAGGCTCGTAACCTATAAAAAATTATAGAAGCAAGGGGTGAGTACCAAACCACACGGTACTCAGCAAGTAAACTTCTAAACACAAGCTAATGGAATAAAATACGGGTACTCCTTACATACCAACCAAACCTCCACAACTACAACCTGCATAAAATCAACCCAACCTAACAGTTCACAGTGTACGTAGCACCCAGCTCAACAACAATCACTTTAACCAATTACATATCCTCAACAACAAATTCAATATTCATCAATCACAACTTTCACAAAAAGGGGCACTCACAATATCAACAACACATAAGATCAAGTTCATCAAATAGAGGTATTCAAATATCAAGTATTTTCCAACCACCAAATAAACACAAATCATCAAGAATGAAGGATGTCATGGGATGTAATGCAATATGACACCATGAAATGAATGACTCAGAATACCAGGTACTCTCTCAACCGTATATACATGATACTCCTCATAAATACATCGAGAGTTCAGACCCATGGAGGACTCGCGAGGTCCATATACCGACACGGACGATCTCCACGTGTCTGTGCAGACGATCTCAACGCACTATCATAAAATCAAACAATCCCCAGCACGGACGATCTCCAGGTGCCCAAAGGATAATCGTACTCGATCTCAACACGAAAGATCTCCACGTGTTAGACTTTGCTCATACCCAATCTCATGTTAATGCATGTGCACAATATGATATCAATTAAAGGGGATGATGCAACATCTCAATAAATCAAATGTCGCTATAACATATAATCACCTCAATTATCACAATTATACGGGTTTAGTAAAGAACACAATTACACATAATAAATCAAGTCAATAACATATCAGCTAATTCCCATATGCTTTGACATTCTCGGATTACAATCCGCTTTTTATAGTAATAAACTTTCCCTTTATAACATCGGTACCCGTACCATTCTCAACACATCACACACAAATAATTAATCACATTGCCTTTTATTACCCCTTTTCATTATTAGAATTAATCAAGGTGGACAAGTCAATCCATCACCAAGTCTCATTACCCTCAAACATATATTACAAGGAAATACACGAATTTCATACACTTAACAGGGGTTAGAAATCCACTTGCCTCAAATAACTGAACAATCACTCTGAAACTTGAACCTTCATTTTTCGTTGAGCTTCCAAATCAATGCAATCTATTCAAATACATACTCACAATAAGATTTCAAAACTAACAACACACATATTACTATAGGTTTAGCCTTGACCTAAAAATTCGCTAGACTTAATAATCAAGTTTGTAATTCTTTATGCTAATTAACATTTCACTAAAATATTTTTTCACGTTTCAAGTCTAGGGTCAAGTCCCAATTTTTCCAATATCCTAAATCTAATGGTATTCACATAATACCTTACATCATATCTCAATATTATTAAAACTTGATTTATGAGGTAACTATAACAATAAAATAAAAGGAGAACCCTAAAGAAAATGACAAACCAGTAACTTAGATTGGCTACCTAAAACAACCATCCATTCATTCTTTAAGCACTATCCAATCACCCTTCATTATTATAAAATTATTGTTTTATAATTGTCCTTAAATTAAATGGTCGCATTAATTCTTAATTTGACACTAAGAAAAATAATAAAAGCCACGGTTACAACAACGATCAATTCACAATAAAATGCCCACAATATAATATTATATTTCCTCTAAGAACCAATTCCTAATTTGCTAATGATTAATCCTAAAAAGGCACTCATTGCCAAATCATTCTCTCATTGATAGCCATCAATTGTTGGTAAGGAATTAAGGTTAAAAAACCGATAAAAGGCACCTATCTAATCTACAAATTCAAGAGGCAACCCATTATTTTCCTACCTACTATACTACTGGTTTTATACACACATATATATATATATGCATAGCAATTAATGCATTACCTGAAGCTGCTCGTTTGATGCCGCCACCGTCCGTTCCTTCTTTCCCTTTCTATTTCTCTTCCAAATTAATTGTTTATTAAAACAGACAAAATCCACTAACTTATTTTTAATACATAGGCCTAATGGCATAGGGTGTTAAATAAATAATCACTTTAGCCCATTAACTGTCAATTATCTACAATTACCCATCACCTAATTAACTCAGGTTAAATGAATAAATCCAAATTTCCAAAAATAAAAATCGGGTTATTACAGAGAAGCCAAGAACAACTGGTTTTGGTGTGCTATTTGGAGCAGATGGTGGTGTGATTGAGAGGGTAAGTATTATTATTTAAGGACCTTTAGTTTGATTCTATAGAATCTCTCTAACTAATATCATTATTGTCTTTTAACAGTTTGGAACTACTGATAGAGTGTTACATTGTGCACCATTGAAGAGTTAGTGCCTACCAATATCGATCTTGGTTACAAACCCAATGGACTAACGTGGAAGGGTAGAGCTGCAGTTACTCAAAGGCAGCTACAAGAACAAAGTTACAAGTGAGCCACTCAGTTCACACCAAGCACTCAAGACACATAATATTTCATAGTAAAGACTTATGTTTTGCCTAGATAAATTCGCAATGACATTGTCTATGATACTTTTCACTATTAACTTAATTTTCAACTTTTGTGTTAGCTTGCTATGACAAACAAATTATTTTTGTTTATGAATTTGCTATGATATTTATAAGTCTTAATCTGGATATTTTCATACATTATATTACATTATCATAGTACTCAAATGAACAAATCATCAATACATCTTAAATACAAAAGATAGAAACCGAATGACAACAATCACAACAACACTGATATAAATACTAATGCTCGATCTCCCTTGTCTTTCATGTCTTCCATGCTTTCCATGCCTTCCCTGCCTTCCATGATCAACATTTGCTGATTGATTCTTCATGTAGTATTGTTCTTGGTATGTACAATCAGCCATATCAGCCCATCGAAAAAATCCACATCCATTACCATTTGTGTATTTTTGACAGCCCCAAAACATTCTTCCTGGATTTGTTGATGTTCTTGACATCTTAAGTTCAACATGAAGCCCACAATAGTAAAAACAAACAGTCATTATGAAGAACAAAAAAATTAACGAGTAAGAAAAATGCGAGAAAAATAAAATATAGACAAATAAGGCCTGATCAATTGTGGAGAAGAAAAAGAAATTTGGAGTGAAGAATTTTGGAGAGAGATAAACGAGTGAGAAAGAGAAGAAATTTTGGATATTTGAAGAAGAAATTAGGGGAATTTGAGGAAGATGACCAAAAATAACCGTTATTGACTTGCATCTCGCGCTCCTAAAGTGGGTGTAATTCACGCACTTGAACTACTTTTGCCACATGGGATGACAGGTCAAAAAAAAGTTTAAAATGTTGGATTTCAGTGGGTTCGAGGGTTCAGTTGGCAAAGTCTAAATTAGAAGGGCTCAAGTGACAAAATGAGACACGTACAAGGGTCTCCCAGACCATTCTTCCTTTTATTTATCATCCCATTTTGAGACAAATAATAATAACAACACTAACAAAATATTAGATGAGTCAACCAATTTCTCTACTTCGCTACTTTATGTTACACTCTGAGCCTACACTTTGGACGTGACAACTATTGTGGCCTGAGTGAACCCTTGGTCTGGCATACAGTAAGACTGAATACTGACGTATGCTCATCTTTTAAAAGATTTTGTATTAGTCAGTATTCAATAATCTTATAGTATATCAGACCAAGGGTTCGCTCAGCCCAGTAATAATTTTGAATGCTAGTCAAGTCTAGAGTGTAGGCTCAAAGCATGACACTTTCTCTTCTTATTTTGTCACAATTTCCACCTAGGCCCCCGACTTTAGTTGCTTGGTCGGGATAGAACACCCCTCCCCCTCTCTGCCCTCACCCATGTGGATTAATCGAAGGGATGTGGTGCAACTTGATAGCATGTTTGTATTTAATATAAAATGTCACGAGTTCAAATTCTAAAACTCCCAAAAAAAAACCTTTCTCAAGCAGCCGGCTAATTAATGTCAATATTTGTTGTCTTTTGGTGATATATCATAAACAGTAATTATAATACCATTTATGTGAATTTCAACGCTTTCATCATTGAAATGAATTTTCAAATGAAAATTTCATTTTCTTCCACTTCATCATAGAGTTAATTAAACATAGAGGGATCATTTTAGTTTACAGGTATGACTTTAAAGGATACTCAATTACTCATAATCATAAATTAACTAACGACTTTTTTGGTTTAAAGGAATCAAAATCCTAAAATTCCAAAAAAAGGCATCTAATTGTTGAGGTAATAATATAAAAGAAAAATCAAGGACAAATCAATGTGATAATAATCAGAAATAATATTCTACAATCATATAATTATTGAAATGCTTTGCCCCAACAAATGAGGAACCATGGATAATGAACTAAAATGGTAGTATTAATTCTTAGCTTTATTTTGTTTATTATTTCATTTTAGCATTAAGAAATACTCCCTCTGTCCAGTAATAGTTATCCACTATTGACTTGATACAGAAATTAAGAAGCAGTAAATTATAGGAGTAATTTTACCAAATCACCCTTATTAAATATATGTCAACTAAACATTGAAAAATGAATGTTACTATTTCATAGAAAGGGTTAAATAGACACAATATAGTAAATTATTCATTTATTTTATAAATTGGACAAATATTATTGGACATCCCTTAATAGTATATTGA